CATCTTAAGTGTAAGGAGAAGATTGAAGGCAAACCCTCTAGAATACTTTAACAGATATCAAAAGAATAACCATGTCATGCAACCAGAATCTAAACATAAGATAGACTTCTATTTGCGTAAGATCCTGTCACAATTGTGCTGTGTGTGCCCCCAGGGGCAGGTAAAGATACTGACCTGAAATAAAGATACTAATATGAAATAGCAGTCTGAAATAAGTAAAAACTTCAGGAAAACTTCGAATTTCAAGCTGCGTAATGCAGCTACAATGATTACAAAGAACTGCAAGGCAAGGTAGCTGAAATCTGTAATCTGGTATGACAAGTTCTGAACTGGTGGGTAGAGGTTGACTTCATTTTCATCAGCCACCCAGAGACCTGAGTAATTCTTCAGGAATTCCATTGGCTTCAGCAAATCAATATTGTGAAATGCTTCTTACTTTGTGCAGTGTTTATCATACTTACAGAGTATGATAATTAGAGTGCCAACAATTTAGTCTGGGAATATAAACTAACACGAGCGTTTCATGTCTCCCTGTTCTAGGTGCCTTACAAAAGAAGACAGAAAAGCATACAAGCCAATTGAAATACTACAGATGAGAGACATTTCATCTTTCTAAACATAATACCAGATACCTGACCTGTAGATTTGATAGCATTCAAAATTCCTTGCCCTTACAATCACTTGGTTACACAAATTCAGGACCTTTGCAGGAAGTAAGGCATTTTAGAAAATACAACCTTTTTTCCATGACAGATAACACATTCGATATTTTAAATATTTAGATAATCCAGATCAAATATTAGCCAGGCAGTTTAGCACAAGGCACTTTCAAATATGAGGTTCTGTGGGTTAAAACTTGCACTTTCCCTTGGCATTGAAGTTTGCAGATAGTTTTTACCTTAGCATCAACACTGAATGTCCTAGTGCCCTTTTCCCATCATTCTTCAGAGCATGTGTTATAATACTTAATAATCATCCAAAACTCCATCACTAACTTTATTTGAATGATGCTAGTGTGCATGCTATTTTAATGCAACTTTTAGCTATCCTTTTGGGAAAAGGACAGCATGAAAATGAAAGAGGTCATGTCTTTAGGAATACTGTAGTTGCCAACAGAAAAAGAAAAATACTTTATAGAAACCCTGAAAATTTATGGATTTTTAAAAATCTCATTTAAGAAGTTACATATTTAACTTACTGCTGTTGCTCAATGAAAATAAAAAGAATTCTTGTAGAAAATACTTGCCCCAAAATGAGACAGTTGAACAGAAAGAGTTGTGTGTCTATGAATTATAGTTCCGGCCTGCTTATACTCTGCCTTAAAGCTGTGTATTCTTTCTCTGTACTTGTGCAATGCAATTATATTAGAAGGCCCTCTTAAAACTTGGTGATCTATTGGTTTAGGGAGCTAAAGATTAATTCCAGATGTAGTCATGCTCTTCTAGCCCTTCAAAAAGTAACTACTGCACCATCTGTTTTATAATAGACAATTTCAAAGAGTGCCAAGGGGAATGTTAAATACATTGGTCAAATGGCCACATATACCTCACACACAGGAATCCTAGAGGTCATAGTGCCTCAGACAGATTCATATTTTCACGTTTTTCTCTCCATTGCTCCACTATGGAAACTCAAGGAACAGCCCTCCTTCCTCCCAAAATAGGAAGGAGGTATCTTCCAGATCATTACCAGTGTTGACATGTATGAGGGCAAATTCAGACCTGAATTCAGTGGAATGGCTCGAATTCATATACCTGCCTGAATCTTGGATCCTTGTAGATTATTCCAAACAGTTCTGGGTTTTGGGTTTTGTTTTGGTTTTTGTTTTGTGGTGTTTTTTTTTTCCAAATGAGGTCAGTAGCTGGAGGTTCCTGCTAAACTGATTTCAGACTTGGCTGGTTGCCCAAGACAAATGAAGGGTGCAACAGGTAATGAAGGCTTAGTCCAGGTCATGAATGATAATTTTTATTTTTCCTGAGTATTTCAGAAAGCTTGAAATTAAGAAATTGTCTCTGTTTTTTCTAAATCCAGCATTATGCATCAATATCTACATCTCATATGTATAACAAGATGCACTCAGGTTAGCATCAACATGACCTAAATTCTTTACATCAGCAAAACTGGAGTAAAAAACATTCTCTGAAGGTTTCCCAAGTATAAATCTGAACTTCAGAGCAGTAACTCGTGATTTATACCAAACAGTCCTGAGAAAAGGTCTAAAATGAAAACAAAAGGAAACAGAAAATCTGCTAGAAATTAGACAATCACAATCTTGTGCAGTCCTGGAGAGACTTTTTCTTTCCTGCGGTGACATTAGGTAAATCATTGGTAAAAAGAATTAAAGATTAACAACATGTCTTCAGTTCATTCCTCTTTGGTTTTTCCAGTGCATCCAGTCATATTTTATACCAATTCTTGTAATAAGTTACTAGAAAAGTAGCTTAGGACTAGCAGACTACTGCACCCCCTTCAGTTTTGCTGACTTTGCGGTGGTTCTCTCCATTCAACATCAGAGGCAGAATCAGTGCCTTAGACTGTAAGCTTCGTGTCTGGGTATACTCCAACTACGCCTCAAAGTTCAAAGTTTGCTGCTGGTAAGTAAGAAAGAAATTAATAGGAATAACAGCTCCTTACCATTATCTAGTATTACTAGAACTGAACTTTTCTTAAGCAACTGCCAGTTTGGGTAGTGTAAGAGAACTCCACACATACAGTAAGATTTGCACTTTTTCAGTATTAAACATTATTATAACACAGAAAAGTGGGAAAGTGGAATAGGACACTGTTTGGACAACTTCACCACAGCTTTTGAAATTAAAGACATCTGAAAGGAATACACTCTGAGAGGCTAATAAACATATTGGTGTGGAAGGATACATACACACCTTACAGCCACAGCAAAGGCCCCGTTGTTTAGGACAAGATTTAATTCAAAATAATAGACTCAATAATAATAATAAAACTCATTCATGCAAATCAAGAAGTGTAGTTGTCCCACCTCTTGCTGAGCTGATGTTCCTGGAAGATAAGACCTCCAGAATAAAGAGGTATTTAGGGAAAACTTTGTTTTAGACATTTTTATTACACCTCAGCTTAATTCCTGTTTTTGCTTAAGAACTTTTAAATACTTCTTATCTGTTTTAAAACGTAATTAACAGATTATAAGAGTCACGAACACTACTCTATTCCTGTGCTTTCCAGGCACAAATTCTGCCTTTAACTAAGTCATACAATGCAGGGCTGAAGTCTGATCTATCTTTTGAAAAATACTCAAGAATTGGCTTAGTTGAGACATTTGGTGGAGCTCAAAGAGAGAAAATTCAGAAATTAACTCTTCTCTCCTTGTTCCATAGTTGTCCTAACTCTAAACTCAACCCTAAATGTACAGATAAATACTTCAAAGCTCACTGTTTTCTGGGCTGACAGGCTAATTTTCTGCAGCTGAGCCCAGCATTCCTCCACTTCACTGTAAACACCTGTAGTACATCTCTTCCATGGGAAAAATGTGCCAGCCATTTGCTAGCTACTGGCTGGGTCATACATACCATGTCAAAGTGATCTATTTCATTTAAGATATATAGATCCAAAATTACACAGCCCAGAGAAAAAAGAAAGCAATTATTTTATTTACTTGACACATGCTGTCTTCAGGAAAGTTCAATTTGTAGCAATATTTAATAATTCATAAAAGAATACAGTTTTAAAAAGTAACTTATTTGTTCAGTACAGCAGAAAATTAAGACACAATATATGAACTGGTACAATATACATGCTCCGCAGAAACAACTGTATTTCTATCACACATTTTTTGGAAAACGTTATTGCTTTTACTTTCATTGCATTTGTACCTCAGAGGCAAAAATTATTACACAGAAAGATCTGTTTCCTTTCTCAGCCATCTTCTGTAGTTATTTGAGGGCTTTTTTTTTTTTTTTTTTTTTTTACTGTGTTGCATCCAGCAAGGATGGACGGTCATGTCCAGAGAAGGACAATGAAGCTGGTGAACAGACAAGAGCACAAGTCATATGGGGAGTAGCTGAGGGAGCTAGGGGTATTTAGCCTGGAGAAAAGGAGGCTCAGGGGTGATCTTATTGTTCTCTACAACCACCTGAAAGGAGATTGTAGCCAGGTGGGGATTAGTCTCTTCTCCCAGCTAACAAGCGACAGGACAAGAGGAAATGGCCCCAAATTGTGCCAGGGGAGGTTTAGACATAAGGAAAAATTTCTTCACTAAAAGAGCAGTCAGGCGTTGGAACAGTCTGCTCGGTGAAGTGGTAGAATCATCGTCCCTGCAAGGGTTCAGAAAACATGTGAATGTGGCACCCAGGGATACGGACCAGTGGTGAACACAGTGGTGATGAGTTAACTGTTGGACTCCATGTAATCTTAGCGGTCTTTTCAAACTTCAACTATTCTATGATTCCATGACCACCAGCCCAAATAACAATTACCAACCACAAACCCTGTGTCACTGATAATGACTGCAGAATTCCCCCTGACTGGATGAGCTCCTCCATTATCGTTGTGAGGTTAGAGGTGTCACTAGACAAACATTAGAGAAACAACTCTGGCCACCTACTGGTGGACCAACTGCTGCGTGTGTCTCGGCAGCATGCCACTGTCCCTTCCTGGTGAGAGCCAACAGTCATCCAGCATCTGTCCTTCCACAGAATCACAGAATATTCGGAGATGAAAAGGACCCACAAGGACCCTTGAGTCCTGTTCTTAAGCCAATGGCCCCTACGGGGATCGAACCCAGGACCTTGGTGTTATCAGCACCGCGCTGTCTCTGAAGGCAGAGGTGCAGTTGTGCCCCGGGACGCCCAGGGAATCGCCACGCTGGAATAGGCCCTAACCCTGAAATCCCGTGTCAGCACTTTGACGGATCCACGGCTTTCACACGCGCTATACACCTGTCATGTGCGTTTAGTGGGTGTTTAACACGTGCAAGGCCGTGGACGCGCAATATTTGCAATCAAATCGGAATCCCGATGCGTGCGGGCGGTCCGAGTCCATCCGAAAATCCGGCTCGTAAAGTGCTGTCCCCAAAACCCCAACCTCAATCTGGGGGCAAAGCCGCGACCTCTCACCACGCCCCGTCTCCCATCTCCGCCAGCCTCCCGCGCAGGCCAGGATCCGACCACGAAGCCGGGCCGAGCGCAGCCGCGCCTTGCTGACAGGAGCTGGGCCTTGGCGCTCCCGGACAGGCCGCAGGGGGCGGGCCGGGCCCGGCGCAGGCGCCGCCGAAGGCTCGCGGCGGAGGGCAGCTGGGCCTGGGACGGCGGCTCCATGCGCTGCCAGGTAGGTGCGACCTGCTGGAGCTCCCGGCGAGCGGCGGCCTGGCCGGAGCCGGGAAGGGCGGCGGGGCTCCCGCGGCCCCTCGGCCCGGCGGGCAGCGGCGCCGGACGGGAGAGGCCTGGGCGGGGGAGCGGGGCGCGGATCCGCGGCACTCACCGCCCCCCCGCCTTCCCTTGCCCCCCGCCTGTCCCCGCTCTCCGGACGGCCGGGGCAGGAGGTCGGCACCGAGAAGAGCCTGGGAAAGCTTTTCCCGGCGCTCTGGTTCCGGCCGTGTGTTGGTGGTTTTTTTGGGGGGAGGCCCCGCGCTCTGAGCCCTGTCTGTTCCCCGAGCAGGTCTCGGTGCTGTATTTCGCCCGGAGCGCGGAGCTGGCGGGGCTGCGCAGCGAGACCCTCTCGGTGCCACGGCAGATCACCTCTCTGCAGCTCTGGGAGGAGATCGTCAAGGCCCACCCCAGGTACCCAGCAAGTTACCAATGAGGTGCACAAAACCCGTGGTTGGATATCTTTTCTTTTCTTTTTTTTTTGGTAAATACAAATTCGGCGTTTAGAGACTAGTTGGAATGTGTAGCAGTACTTCGACAGTGCAAAACCAGTGATGTTACCTTCTTCTGGTAACCTGCACCAAGCTTTTCGTGTTCCGCACAGTCGGAAAGGCTGTAGCTTTATGTATATACAAGGAAAGCCCAGGTCCCAAAAGTAGATGTACCCAGAAGTTGAGCCTGAGTGGTACACGGGGCCCATTGTCCAGGAGAGCTGGGGTGCAGTAAGCTGAAAGCTGAGCTATGTTATTAACCTGTGGAGAAGGTGAGATGTCTCAAGGAGAGATCACGCACAGCCAGGACAATAAATAAGAAATAAATGGTAGCGTGCAGGTGTTTTTAATCACTTAGGTTGGACATTAGGAAGAAATTATTCACAAAAGGGGCGATTAGATTTTGGAGTGAGCTGCCATTCCTGGATGTGTTTAAGGAAAGACTGGACATGGCACTCAGTGCCATAGTGTAATTGACATGTTAGGTCAAAAGTTGGACTTGATGATCTCAGAGGTCTTTTCCAACCTAACTGATTCTGTAATTATCTTTAACTGTACAGTTAGCCATTGGTCTGATCTTATGGCACACTCTGGAAGAAAGATCAGGAAGGGAACTGAAGCCTGCACAGGCTTCTAGCCACTCAACCCTGCCTGACCCAGGAAGTAGATTCAGCCACTTTCAACCTTCTCTGTTTTGAAAGATACTGCTGTTGGTTGCATTTCTCAGGGAGTCTGGTCCTGAGAGAGCTTGTGCTGTAAGAGCTTCTGCAGCACTGGTGCTCCTTAGGGGTGTCAGCAGAAAAGTCGCCTCATGTTAGGGCTGAGGAAAGGTGCTCAGTTCTGACAAGAATGAGTCTGATAGACAAAGATGCAACACCATTTTGAAAGGGTAGAAGGGGGTAAAAAAAAAGTAGGGTTTAACAGGTTGAGGTCCTCAGGATTTAGTGCTGAATGCACTGGAATTTCAATAACTCTGGAATTAGATGTCAAGGCACAACTCTTCTTTAGTCGATTACTCTCAAAGGCTATGAAAACAATGAACTATTTAGCAAAGGAATTTGTTTCCAGGTGAGAAGCTCTAACAAAATGCTAGACCAGGGGCCTTTTCCTCACAGAGAACTGGGGTTAAATGTGTTTTGGGGGAGGAGACAGTGCAGGGTATGTGCTTATTTTACTTTGCAGCCTGTTCCTCTGTGTCAGAGGTATCAGCAGCACCGTTGGTTGGTGTTCCATAGTTTGTCAACTTTGTCCTTTTATGAGTGATGACTTGGGGCAGTACATCTTGCATTTGCAGTTACTTCACAGCAGCCTTCGTGAAAAACGCTTCTGTTCCTTGCTTTTATGGAAAAAATATAATTTTAGGGCATTGACCACAGACTTCTGTTCACACTGCTAATGGATATTCAAACTGCAGCTTTAGCATACTTGACAGTGCTCGTCTGTTCCACCCATTTTCCCCAATGAATTTGCTTACCAGTGACACTAGTTGTGACACTAATTAGAACCCATCCTTCTAATGGGCACTTCAATTTCATGGGTATGCCAAGTTCTTCAGTGACTTTCATGCAGTCTCTTTCTTCAGTTTGCCCTCTGAGTCAGAGCTACTGTGTTTTGCTTAGTCTGTGCCTTGCCTACTTTGGTCTATCTGGCTGGTAGGAAATAAGATGATTTTTACTTGTACTCTTTTGGTGTGTCTACATGTTTCTATGCAGTACAGCTCTGCTGGCTGTGCCAGATTTTGTAGTCCAAACAATAACAGTTATCATACCTGCACCATATAACGTAAAATGCTGGCATTCTTTTTCCTGGTGTCTTACTGCCATTGCCCTCATGCTTGCTGTGTAATTGCACTTAGCCATGAAAGTGACTCCTTGTCTCACGATATCCAGAGCTGTGGACTCTCACAGAAACATCTCAAAGATGTGAAATCAAAAAATATTTAGAAGGTCTGCCAGAAGACACATCACATCTGCCCTCTTACTTCTGCGGCCGCTCCTTACCAACAGCAGATTTCAGACCTGTAAGTGCAAAAGACCCAAAGCTTCATGAAGTCTGAGCACACACAACAAGAGCATCTCTTTGACCACTGAATCTTCCTGAGATCTCATGAGCAGCACCCAGAATGCTTCTTGGTGTGTAAGAAAATTGCTCCAGTCCTTCGAGACTGTATCAGGGCAATATTTACTTCTAATCCCGAATTGTATGGTTGCTACCTCTTGAGTTACTTCTTTATTATAAGCTGCTGCAGTGGGTCTGATATACATTGGTTCATTCTGATACAGGCCTATGACAAATTGAATTCCTGACTTTTGAAAATTATACTGAGTTTGTTTCTCCTTAGCCACTACAAGAAACCCAAAGAGTAGGAGATGGGTGTTTGTTGTATTTTTGACAGTGTCTAGGAAGCAAAGTTGTGTAAGTCTCAGTGGTTTTTACCTCAGTTGCCCTAGACTGTGCACCAGTTGGTTGTTTAATGAAATCTGTGGTTAAATGTAAACACTCTATTTGTGCTCCTGCCAATCCCCCTTAGGCTTGCTGTCATCCAGGATCAAGTGGTTTTTGCTGTTCGCCAGGAATACGTGCTTCTTGGAGATCAGCTCCTGGTCCTTCAGCCTGGAGACGAGGTTGCCATCATCCCACCGATTAGTGGAGGCTGAACCTGCCCAGATTCTGTTGGGTAGGTATCTTGCTTAGTTTCTATGCTATAGAGCATAATCCTGTGCTAATATAATCTGAATTCTGTATGATGTTCCAACAGTCCTTTTTTGTTTAGGTCCACAGATGTGATTGCTATTCTCTCCTTCCACCCCAGTACTGTTTTGAGAGAGCCTAATGTGTATTTCCATCTGGAGAGTACAGTTATGCCGACCAGAAACTACAAGCCAGTGCACCAGTAAATGATTAACACGTATTCAGTAAATGGAAGACAATTGCCAGAGAGGTCGGGCATTGTTTTGAATTTGAGTTTTAGGTCTTGTTACTCCTTCCTTGTTGTTTCTGGCTACCAGTAGATACTTTGCTTGCCTAAGTAAGATAATAATGAACAACCTTCTGCTGCTTTTTAACAGAAGATAATACAGCAAAATAACTGCTGCTTAAAAATTTTGTTTATTTTTTGCTGTTAAAGGAGCAGGTGTGCTTAGAATAGCTTAATTTCTTTGCCTGCTTTCAAGTGCCAGTCCTTGTGTTTACTGCAGCTTGTTCCATTGCTGCTTAAAATACTTCTCATTGTTCTCATTCTTAGGTGATCTGATGACTGGTTTCTACTCAGAAAAGTTAAAAGCGTCTCTGTTGTGACTGAAACGGATGGATACTGTGAGGTCCTGAATGTCCTGGAGAGCATATTCAACTTTAGGATTAGAAATCTAATCTGTGTTTATCAGAAATCTCTGTTTTTAAACTGTTTGATTTCAGGATAAGAAAAGTAGGAGGGGCTGCAATATCACTGAAGATTTACCAGCACTGCACAGTGGTCCATGCTGGTTGATTGTATTATTAAACCATGGCCTCAGACTAATTATAGTTTTGTCCCATTGTACCAGACTTTCCTGTCAGAAAGGAATATGTATACATTAAAAACCAGGTCATTGCTCGATATTTGCAGTTAATATTCTCTCTGTGAGACTGATGAGAAGTGAATTTGATGTGTAGACTGGTCTCTCAGGGAAATAGATGGTGCATGTTGTTTGCATAAATTAGATAAAAAGCAGTTGGCTGATGCTAGTATCTTCAGAAACAACAACAGAGTCTGTTTGGTTTCAGCCTTTTTAGTGAGATATGGATGAAACTGAAGATGTGCCAAAAGATTTTATCAAGCTCAAGTCTGCAAAGCTCTCTGTAGATGAAGTGTCAGAGCTGGTCGTTTCACCATACTGTGGGGCAGTGTCTCTGTTCATTGGTAAGTTTAATATTTATGAGCTGGATATTTGGATGTGTTAATGGTCTAATAAATGGAATGTAGATTGTCCACATCGCAGACTTGTGCTTCTCAAATAAATCAATTCCTGGTCTGAACCCAGGATGTTTAGAAAACATGATCTGAATTATTAGAGCAAGACTATGGCAGCAGTTAAGCAGTTGCACTGGGATTAAGTGGTGAGAAGCTTTCAGGTTGGTATAGCTATCCTAGGACTGAATGGAGCGACAGCTCTGGAGTATAGAACTGCTTGGGAGGTGTTTTCTCTATCCTCTTGGGCACAGCTTGTTCAAGGTGGGAATAGAATATTGTGGCTATGCAAACACATGCCCACACCTGTATGTGAGGTCTCACAACTAAGGTCTTAGTTGAAAGTGAAGTACTGTTTTACCCATGAGCTGGTAAAGGTAAGGCTGATACTCTATCCTGTGCTTAATGTGCATGGCACACATCTGAACCCCTTTGTCCTTAAACTTTAGTGCTGTGGGCTTCTAAATACTGAGCATTTAAAAATTGCATGGGCAAATGCAATAATAATAGCAACTTAGTAATTACCACAGAAGATGTCCCAGCCTTGAGCATTACGGACTCTGGACTTGTATAATGTGTAAACTAAATTATTCCTTTTATAGTAAAGATTTATCTTGTTCAAATAATCTCTTTATGCAGCCATATTTAGGGGAGATTGTTTATATTTGCGCAGTGCTGACCTTGACCATAACAAGAGATCCTGGGTTTTACTCAGTATTAATACATTATATGTTTTTATGTAATGTGTATATAGTATATATTATAAATATACAGTATATATTTAGTAAGTGTGCAGAATTTATTTATTTATTTATTATTTATTTATTATTTAAGTACACTTTATTTGGTTGATAAATCATTTTTATTTAGGTACTACAAGAAATAATTTTGAAGGGAAAAAAGTGATTCACTTAGAATATGAAGCATATACTTCAATGGCAGAGACTGAAATAAAGAAAATCTGCAGAGATGTAAGACAGAAATGGCCTTCAGTCAAACATATTGCAGTGCACCATAGACTTGGGTATGTATGTCCAGACCACATCCTTCTGTAAGTGGAATATTAATCCTTGTCTGGTGCATGGACCTGCAGGAGTATTTAGAAACTGTAATGCAGTGTGTATTGGTAGTGTTTGCTGGAGTCCCCATTTAGCCTTGCAGGATCCTTGATGCTGGTTTGATGTTTTGAAAAGAGAGAAGGGATTGTAATTTCACTTTTGGGGAGAAGGGATTGTAATTTCACTCTGGAGAAGGGGAGGCTGTTGGTTTGTTTTGTCTTTATTTCTAAAAGATATGAAGTTTTCAGCACTTTCTTTTTATTCTCTCTTCTATGGAGATGCTGCAGAAGGTCCTTGTCAGATTTAAGTCAATTTATGCTATAAAAAAATCTGCAAGCTTGGGCTATGGGGAGTGAAGAGACACAGTAATTGCCAGACATGCTTGTAGGAGAACCTCCTGTTTTTGAGTCTTGGATAAGCATTTTCCCTTAGGTTCAAACATGGAATGCTAGTATCTGACATTCTCTTGAGCCTTCCCTATTTATCAGGTTTCTCACTGAAATTAGAAGGACTTGCAGAGTCTGAAGGAACATTGGAGGTGATTGCAAAGGGTAAGATAGTAGGTCTGAAGGGTAGTTTCCTTAGATTTCCTCTATAGCCAGCGGAGAGAGCGGCTCTCTTGAGGGCAGCTCAAAGCATTTAAGCTGAGATTTCTTCTTGTGAACTATTTGCTGGAGGAGTCCTACGATAGAGGGAGAGCTGGGAAGCAGCTTTTGGGAATACTGCTATTGTGAGGAGCAAAACAAAACCTTGTGCTTCTTCTGTTAAGTTTGGAAAATAACACATTGAATAGTAAACTTCAGAATTTAAAATCAGAGTTCACCAAAAATTAAGTTTCATTGCAAAATCTGCATAGTATGAGGCACTTAATTTCTTCTTTCACAAATTCTTGTGCAAATTGAGATGATTTTTTAGGTTTCCAGATAAGAACTAACTGTTCTAACTTGTTATTGTTTATTATTTAGCCAGCTTTCAGTGAGTTTCCTATGTATTGTTGCAAATTAACAATTTTCCCCTCTTAACTCCATAGGCTTAATTTAAAAAAAAGAAAGAATGGATGAAAAAAGCCTATGTCTGGTGGATTTATTTATTCTCAAGTGTGGAATTTTAACATCTGGTACTGATTTTGGTTGTGGTTTTCTTTCTTTTAAAAAGTGTATAATCTTTTGGACGTGGTTTGACACTTGCTCAGTATGAATGAGTCAGGAGAGCATGTGGCCAGAACACTGACGTGACATGGCCACAACTTTTGGGTGCTCTTGATGTTAAGTGTTAGCTAAAACTGCTGTTGTTCCTCTTCTCTCCCTAGTGTGGTTCCAATAACTGAAGCAAGTGTAATTATTGCAGTCTCCTCTCCACACAGAGCAGAATCCCTTGAAGCTGTAATGTACTGCATCAATACCCTAAAAGCATCTGTACCAATATGGAAAAAGGTATGTTTGGGGTCTTTCCAAGTTTGAGCCCCCCTCTCACAATTTGCTTCAGTGTGAGAGGGTTTTCAGACAAAACAAAAATTGAATTTAGACCTATGCTAGTCTTAGACATCTGGGCTATCTAAGAAATGCTCCAGGGGGCAGTTGCTCCTCATGGCTTGTCAGTGTCTGGCAGCAGTGAGGTTCCTCTAATGCAGCCAAGCCCATATATGGCAGGTAGAACATCTGAAAGGCTGTTCTGTACCTCTACCATCCAGCTCCTTTTGCTTTTGAAGCCAGCCTGGGGTCAAAGTGAAAGAGGCCCAAGTTCTCCTCTTTTGAGTTGCAAAACTCAGTTCCTCACAGGCTTGTGGAAGAACTTTGAATCAGCTTTGCAGTTCGCAAGTAAAAGGAACATTTCTTGTCTCTGTCTTTTCCCCTCATCCCTGTGGCCTTGAGAAAGCACAAAGCATTAAGCAATAGCACACAGAGAAGGGATGAACAGAGATCCCAGGGTTGGTATGGGCACACAACACTGGAGAAATTAGCCCAGGTCCAGAAAGAGATTCATTGTGTAACCACAGTGTTGCATGCAAGTAATGAGCATTACCTCTGCCTTCTCTCCCAGGCAGAACTTGCCATGTGGTTAACAGTGATGTTCTCTTGAGTACTCTACTTTTCTGACACCTCTTTCAGGAGACAAGTAATCAGGGTGTAATCTCGGAGCTCTGATGAATTTTCTTTATAGGATTGGACTGCTGCTGGGTAGTCCAGTCTGTCCATCAGATCCAATACTACTGTATTTGGTGTATTGATGTAATATATTTTTTTAATATTGACATTCTGTTACACATAAATACTCTTCTTAAAATGATGATACAGTAGGTACTACATGAGTGCTGTGTACTCCACAGCTTTTACATCATATCTTCTAGATTTCTTTGTTGAACTTCAGTATAGATGGGCCCTTTTAAATTTAATGGGTATCAGCCCGAGGTTCAGCTAAGTTAGTATATTCTAAGGGTGCTGCCCTCTTTTCTGCTTGCCAGCCAAGTACTGTGTAGTCCTGTTGTGATCAGTAAATAATAGCGGGGTGGCTGTTGAGTTATTTGGCCTGGCTTGTATGTAGCAGAGTCTCACAATATTGCCCATTCTTTGTTTATATTTGCAGGAGATTTATGAGGATGAATATTCTTGGAAAGAAAACAAGGAATGCTTTTGGGCAAATTCAGAAAAATAACTGTACTCTTTTAAAAATAAAGTGTTACTCTTCCAAATGAGCATATTTACCTTTGAATTGTTTTTACAGAGAATCTATGTGTTTCTAAACAGTTATAATAGATGTTTCAATCTGAGTAATTTAATTTGGACTGAGTGATATGAATGAGTATTAATTAGGGTTTTAAAGCATTCTTGACTATCCTTTGAAAGCACCCTTTTGCGCATTCTAACATGGAGGCAGTTTTTAAAACAATCTTCCCTAAAATTCTTGGTAGCAAGGTATTTAGACTGCTCTGTGATATATAATGCTCTGATGTTTTGACGTTGGTAGTCTGTGTTCTCTGTCTGCATGGGAGGTCACCGCAGGACAATTGCATTCTTTTTAATCTTAAAAAAGTCCAGACAGGTTTAATTTTATGACTGTAGAATCAGTTTGCAAGCTTTATGCTATTTTGATATTCTTGTAACATGAAAGCTACTTGAAGTAGATGAAATATTTTGGTCCAGACGAAGAAAATACAAACTATGCCCTAGAGTTATTAACTTTTTAGTAATGGTTATGTTCCAGTAGCTGTATCTCACAGAAACATTTTTACTGTGCAGCTGATACTACAAGTCTATTGCATTAAAAAAAATATGGACAGACTTTTATTCAAAGTTAGATCTAATATTCTACCAGCAACAAACTTGCATTAGCAATAACATGCCAACCTGTAACTACTTAATGATGTCCAGACATAATTAATTTTGAAGGTGATTCTTGGCTCAGTACGACCTGGCACCGTGCACTTGCAGCCTAGAAAGCCAACTGTGTCCTGGGCTGCATCCAAAGCAGGGTGGTCAGCAGGTCACAGGAGTTATTCTGCCCCTCTGCTCTGCTCTGATGAGATACCACATGGATTACTGCATCCATTTCTGGAATCTCCAACAAAAGAAGGATGTGGACCTGTTGGAATGCATCCAGAGGAGGGCCACTAAGTTGATCAGAGGATTGGAGCACCTGTCCTACAAAGACTGGCTGAGAACTGGAGTTGTTCAGTTTGGAGAAGGCTCCAGGGAGACTGTAATTACAGCACCTTCCAGTATCAAAAGGGGGCTTAAAAGAAGGTTGGAGTGGGACTTTTCACAAGGGCATGTAGTGATAGGACAAGGGGCCCTAAGCTGAAGTGAGGGTAACTTTAGATATAAGGAAGAAATTCTTTACTGTGAACCTGGTGAGGCAGAGAAGTTACGGATGCCCCATGGCTGGAAGCATTCAGAGCCAGGGGCTCTGAATAAGCTGGTCTAGTGGAAGATGTCTCTGCCCATGGCAGGAGGGTTGGAACTGGATGATCTGTAAGGTTCCCTTCCAACCCAAAGCATTCTATGACCATTATATCACAGACTACTGAAGCCTCAGCTCTATAATCCATTTCATTGTGTCTGCAGTAAAAATCTACAGCAGCTGCTAGTTGTACAAAGTAAAGTGAGGAAAGCAGGTGATGATCTTTTTTTCCTTGGGGATTTCAATCAGTTTTAATACTTAGTTACTATATCTAAATTAAGTAAACCATAATAAAACATACAGCTTCAGGCAGAAATGTGGTTAAACTGCGCTTATTAACTTACTGATGCACTTTCCTCAGTGGAAGTGAGTCCATCCTCTGCCGGACAGCAACTACTCCTTGCATGCTTACATATACACACCCTACAAACCATGTGGGCCCGATAATCTAGGCAGAGCTAAGCAAGTTCGAGTTTTCCTTTGTTTTGGAGGTTGGAGAGAAGCCCTCTGCTGTTTGAATGTCGTTTTTACTGGCAATTGTACTGAATCTTGAGCACAGATCACTTCCTCTGTCAAATAATTCTTTTTCTCTTTAGAAGAGAAATACATACATGACCTCTTCCATTTTTGGTGTTCATTTTTCCACGTTCATGTTTGCCATTACCATGCAACTAATTAGTGTATTAATTTCACAAAAATAAATGTTTAGCTTGTCTTTTAGTGGGTGGTTTATGAATGAAGTAAAACCTATGTAGTGCTTGCATACTGGTGCTGTGCTCAGATAAAGAGAAATAGTTCTACTTAGGACCCCACGATCAGGGGCAATTCTTGTGTTGCCCTAGTGCCTCTCTAGTGCTGCAGTGTCCTGGAAGATTTCTCCGGGGTGACCTTAAGTGCACCTTCCCCCATCAGCAATGCAGCTGTGAAGGAGGGTGCAGAAAAAAAGAGAGAATAATTGTGTACTTCCCCACAGTGACCAGGAACAATGAATGGAAGAGATGTTGTACTGAGTCACAGCTGAGTGTTACAATGTGTGTATGCTGCCTTGGTAAAAACAATGAAATGTCATTTTGTGTCCCTAGCTGTGCATGAGGCAAGTACTGCTTTGTTCTGGAACAATGATGTATCGATCTTGTGTAACTTTGGGTTCTTCAGCTGGCATCTCAAAGCGAAATGGAAATGCCTCTAGGAGGGATGTTGTGCATAATTAGAGGTAAAATGTATCTTGCTGAAATTTAAGTCCATACTCCAAACTCTGTGTTCTGTCTCCCTCTGTAGGGCTACCCTTTCTGCTAGGGCAGATCATTGTGTTCTAAGGTAGCTGCCTCAGGCTATATCTGGAGCGACCCAGAAGTGTTTCCAAATTTCCAGGCCAGGGGATGAATTCCAGCTGTGTCACAGTGTGTGTTAGGGAAAGATGTGGCTCTGCACATGTCCCAGTATCCATACGTGCAGGACTACACTGCTGGGTGAAGGCTACTTTGTCTTCTGGGGAGGTCCACTGAGTGGGATGATAGGCAGCTGCAGATAAATATACAAGGAAATATACAGCTTTCTGAAACGAGTCCAAGCGTTTCTCTGCCTTGTCTGTAGGGGAGGGTAATCCCACCCCTTTGTGGCTCTACCAGGTGTGTCACATTCGTGGCTCTGGTGCAGAGAGATGTTCCCAGGAGCAAATGCTGCAGACCAGTGGGTCATCATGTAGAAATCTGCCAGATGAGGGCTGTCTGTGGAAGGGAAGTGCAGGTCTTCAGAGCATGAATTTCTCCTCAGAAGATGCCTTAGTCTTGGCTGGCAACATTTGAATATACTGATCCATCCCTTTGTGTGGCCGAACATCCATATACCAGCATTCCTTAATTTTAGGAGTTTCCTTTCCTGATTTTGATCATTCTGCTCTGTTCTCAGGAGAAGCTTGGCCTCATGCATAAGATGAAAACAGTAAGAGATGGATTGCCATGAAATAGCCGGGTGGGGGAAGGGGGCTGTGTTATAAGGCGCCTACCCAGGAGATGGCAGCCGAGAGATGGCTGAGTGGGTAGAGCGGGTCCTGCCCTGCACAGGTGCTGGCTGTGCTGGGAAGTAGAGGCCCTTGCTTTGGCTGTCATTCATGAAAGTGCCATTGTTGCACTCAGGAATGAAGCCTTTAGATTGTTCAACTTTAAACTAGATTTTTTTATTCTTTCAGCTCACTTTTCCCACAGCTGTTAAAGCAATTTGTAGCTTCAGAGACTAGCACATTCATTTGCTCCTTCAAAAACATTAAAAGGAAAGAACTGTTAAACCTAATTATTAACAAACTGTCTGTGAAAGCAGACAGTGCTGCCCTTTGCCCCCTAAAATGCTCTGAAAAACAGTCTTGAGCCCTTCCATTAAGTGTCCTGTGGAGGTGGTGGAAGAGTTCAGAATAGGCTGATGACTATAAATGACCAATTTCTTTGATTACCCTAGGCCTGTTTTCTGAAAAACAAACAAATCATAAAATTGATCTTATCAAGTGTTACAAAAATTAGTATCCTGATGTATCTTTATAGCAGTTCTCTTTTAAATGTTCCATTTCAACTATTTTAAGTGGTCAATACATTTTAAAAACTGCTAGCATACCAAAGCCTGTGATCACATACAAATAATTCACCATAAATGAGAACAGAAAGGTGACTTAAAAGATAGGACCCAAGTTTTCTGAGGCAATGAAAATGTACACTTAATTACCTTTAAAGGCAATTAAACGTTGAGGCAGTTAGCTATATATTTCAAGATGCATTTTCATACCTTCATTTTCTTTAGTCTGTAACTTGCAAGCTTTTTTTGTAACCCAGTTTTGGATGTAAAGTGTAAAATACCCTGTGCTTTACCCCTAGTCAGCAACCCAACCCCACCCAGCCACTCGATCACTCTGCTCCTCATGGGATGGGGTAGAGAACAGAAAGAGTAAAAGAGAAATCTTGTGGGTTGAGATAAAGACAGTTTAATAGGGAAAGTAAAAACCACTCATGCAAGTAAAGCAAAACAAGGAATTGATTCACCACTTCCCATCGGCAGGCAAGTTCAGCCATCCCCATGAAAGCAGAGCTCTATCAAGTGTAACCATGGCTTGGGAAGACAAATGCCATCATTCTGAACACCCCCCCTCCTTCTCCTTCCCCCAGCTTTATATGCTGAGCATGACACCATATGGAATGGGATATCCCTGTGTCCCCTCTCAACTTCTTGTGCAGCCCCAGCCTCCTGTGGGTGGGATGAGGAGCAGAATAGGCCTTGGCCCTGTGTCAGCACTGCTCAGTGATAGCTAAAACATCTCTGTGTTATCAGTACTGTTTCCAGCACAAATGCAAAACACAGCCTCATACCAGCTACTGCCAAGAAAACTAACTCTACCTCAGTCAAAACCAGCACATACATAAGCCAGTATTTAAGGAATCTGGCTTTTAATTCTGAAAAACACTGAAACTTGGTGAAGTACAGAGTTTTGTGCCTTGAGATCAGGTTTGTCTGGTATTGTATTATGGAAGTGTTAAAGTTGGTAGCCTACCTGAATGTCTATGTACTGTTGTTAAAAGTACGGAGGAGTTGAAAGTGGAAATAAAAAGCTCTGTGAAAGAGGGTAGTTTTCAGGTGGTACTTACTGACAGTACTGTCTTCTTTCTATTAATAGCCAAGTTCTCTTCCTTTGCCACATTGTGTCTGCTGAAATGTTGAATTCAGCTCTTCCAATGTATGGTGGGGAGTGGCCAGAGCCAGGCATGACATGCTACTGCTGACCAGTTCTGTAAATAGCAAAAAGTGCAAAGCCTACCAGT